GGGAAGACGGACTGGTCCTCCGACAATCCCAGCGAGTGAGGGGTGGAGCTGGCGTCCCGTGGGATAACTGGTCTTCGAGCAATCCGAGTGAGGGGCGGAGACAGAGGATCCGGGGAGAGAAAAAGTCCTCCAACAAAACGAGTGTGAGGGGCGGAACTGGAGGACCGAATGGGAGAGATTGGGTCCTCCAACAATCCGAGTTATGGAGATTCTAATTTGCGGGACGGCAATGACGAGCGGTTAGAGGAGCACCGGCTGTCTTTGGGGCTTTCAAAGGTTCGTGTGTTCGTGATAGTTTACCTTCCGCTGGCTGAGAAGCAACGAGTTCGAGTCCCACCTGTTCTAGTCTTAACTTGTTGATTCAAATGACCTGTCTTCTCTGTTTGGTTGTGGAGACCCTCTGAGAGTTGTCTGGAATAATACGCTCTGCATTGAGTCCCAGGAGGAGGGAGAGGACGTGGGCCAGGGATTTACAGAGAGGGATTCCGGATGTTGTCAGACAGTGATCTGCTTTCAGGAATGGCAAGTGCACCTGGAATTGTCTGTTCCGAATTTCTTTCCTGTGCTTATTCAGGACTTTGATCTCCTTTTCCAGGGGTTTTGAAGGACTGGACAGCTAATTCGAATCATACATCTCACCATGGTTCAGCAGTCACTGGATTGAGACTTCCATATTACCATTCTTTGAATGTCTGCATCTGATCTGACAGTGAAAAATGTTTCAGACATCTCTGTGACTGGACGTGTTCTCATGAACTGACTGAAAAGAGCTGTAACCAGTTACACAGCCGGAGAAAACACTGCAACATTGACACTGGGGAGAAACTGTATTCTGTGTGCGCGCGCATATTTGGACGAGTGTTCTACTGATTATCCACCATGGAGAGAGACAAAGATGTCCATGCCGCGGAGAAACCCTGGAAATGTGGGGACTGTGGGAAGGGATTCAATTTCCCCTGCATGCTAGAAATTCATCGGCGTAGTCACACTGGAGAAAAACCCTGGAAATGTGTGGACTGTGGGAAGGGATTCAATTACCAATTCCTACTGGAAGCCCATCGGCGCAGTCACACTGGGGAGAGGCCCTTTACCTGCTCTAAATGTGAGAAAGGATTCACTGATTCACCCCAGCTGCTGACTCACCAGCGAGTTCACACTGAAGAGAGGCCATTCAGCTGTTCTTACTGCGGAAAGAGGTTCAGGCATTCACGCACCCTCACTGACCACCAGCGAGGTCACACTGGGGAACTACCATTCAGCTGCACTTACTGTGGAAAGGGATTCAGGCATTTACGTGCCCTCACTGGACACCAACGAGTTCACACTGGAGATAGGCCATTTATTTGCTCTGTGTGTGGGAAGGGGTTCACTCAGTTATCACACCTGCTGACACACCAGCGGGTTCACACTGAGGAGAGACCGTTTCGATGCACTCACTGTGGAAAGGGATTCAGGCACTCAGGCACCCTCAAAGGACATCAGCGTGTTCATACCGGTGAGAGACCATTTATCTGCACTGTTTGTGGGAAGGGATTTGCTCATTCTTCAGGCCTGCGGAGACATCAGCGTGTTCACACTGGAGAGAGACCATTCCTCTGCTCTGTGTGTGGAGGGAGATTCACTGATTCATCCACCCTGGTGAAACACCGACGAATTCATGCTGGGAGAGACCATTCACCTGCATCCTGTGTGGAAGGTGATCCATTGCTTCATCCGTCTCCTGATACACCACCGAATTCTCACTAAGGAAAGACCATTCCACTGCACTCACAGGCAGAAGGGGTCAGGCATGCATCCATGTTCATCGTACACCTCCAAGTTTACACTGGAGAGAGGCCATCCACTTGCTCAGTTGGGAAAGGATTCACTAGTTCATTCCAACTGCTGAGATGTTAGCAGTTCACGAGTGACTGCAAGGATATGTTTCTGTTACTAACTCACTTAGTTAAACACATTATGATGTAGGGTGTGCTACTTATGTTAATATAATTGTTCTAGGGTTTGGATTTTGAACTAGTGGCATGTGGGGGTCTGTGTGAAGCCAGGACTTCTAAACCAGAATGTGAGGTGGGGGTGGTGGGGAAGTTCCTGGAGTGATAATGGGAGTTTAGTTTGCTTTGTGAGAGGTTTACAGAGCAGCATTTGAAAGGCATTAGTTTCCCTTTATTTTAGGAGAACCATGAATTGATTTTTCTTTTGCTTATTTGCATATGGTTTCAATTCACAGAAGACCTGGTTGAAGTTAGATGTAAGACCAGTTTCTCCTGGAGAAAGGAGTTAGTTCAGAACAGGTAGAAAATAGATTATCTCAATGTATTGGTTTTAATCTGAAAGTTTCAGACCAGAAGTGTTTGGTTAGACTCCTGAAGGAGTATTTGAAGCTCAGTTATGTGAATAATCAAGAAAAAGGCCATCAAACTCTCAAGAGCAGGAATTAAAAGAAACAGTTAAGTTCAACATATAATGGGATAGAGAAGGGAGCTCTCTTGTATCTGTGTACTGTAAAATGATGGTGTAGGAAAGATGGAATATTATTCTACTGTGTTTTGAAATCATTCAAATTGTGTTATATGTAACTAGCTTGGTTTATTCTATTGAATTTCCATTTCTTTTGCATATTAAACTTCAGTTTTAAATCTCTTGCATTGTGTGCGCATATATCAGTGAAAGACCATGTTGTTAAATAAAGAAAAAAATCCATCAAGCCAGGTTTGATTCTGGGATCTGACTTGTCCCATAATACCATCAGGTGGGATCATAACTGATGTCAATAAAGGTATTGTCTTTGCAAAATTATGAGATCTGTAAGAAAGACCTAATTATGTTTTAAACTCTGAGGAAATGTATTGAATATTAGAGGCAATAACTCCCTCACAGTACAGTCTAGGCCTGTTATGTCTGACAAGGACATGTCTCTTGTATAAATCCTGAAACTTGAATGTTGACCCATATGTAGACCGGCTGTCTCGAGCAGAAGTTCAACAGAATGTCCCAGCAAGCCAGAAAATGACTTCATGGACCTCTAATGGAAATATGTGGGATTACCTTGAATATCTGTCCCTTTCTGCTGTTTATTCTCTGCTTCCTGGTAGCCATTTAAACTTCTATCCATGCCAATATTTTACCCTTAACACCATGAGCTTTTATTTATAACCTTTGATGTACCACCTTATCAAATGACTTCTGGAAGTCTAAATACAATTTAACGACTGGTTCCCTTTTATCTACAGCACTAGTTACTTTTTCAAAGAACTCCAAATAAATTAGTTAAACATGATTTCCCTCTGGCAAAACAATCTTGGCTCTGCCTGATTATAACAGGAAACGTAGTTAAGTTCAAAGTAAGGTTTTTAATAACAGCTTCTAACAATTTCCCTGTAACAAATGTTAAGCTAACTGGCCTGTAGTTTGAGATAACAAGGTGTAGAGCTGGATGAACACAGCAGGCCTGGCCTACTGTGTTCATCCAGCTCTACACCTTGTTATCTCAAACT